CATAGGTCAGGTTTTCTAAACCTTTTATCATTTTTATTGCTCTCCTCTGGACTTTCTCTAATTTGTCCACATCTGGCACCCAAAACTGGACACAGTACTCAAACTGAGGCCTCACTAGTGCTGAGTAAAGCAGGAAAGTTACCTCTTGTGTCTTACAAAGGACAGAAGCTCTCCCACTGACATAGCGCTGTCCATACCGGCACTTAAGGGGGTGGCTAACTCACACATAACTTATGTCAACTTAAGCTGTAGCGTAGCCATAGCCTAAGTCCCACTTGTGAATCTAGCTGAAAGCGTGTCAGCTCCCAGCCCATACGGTATGGCAGACTGCTGCTGGTGTGTTCCCCAGAAGGATTAAACACCATGACCAGGTCACTTTCATGCCCTTCCACAGTTTATTAATCCAAACAAAAGTAACGCACGCACACACACACACACACACAAAACTATTCCCCTGACCAACACAGTCTGCAGGAGCCTTTCACCCTCCTCCAGGGCCAGTCACAGGAACCAGCCTTCCTCCTGCAGCTTCCATCCAACTAGGGTCGTTGCTCAAGTTACCAGAATACTGGACATTCTGGCACTTCTGCGCATGACCCCTGCTGGCATGACATTGGATGCATGGTGTGTATGAGGTCACGCCACACGGGGACACCAGTTTCAAGAGCACATCGCACGTGAGGTCAGGCTGGTGGGGGCGGAGTGGCATGCTATTCAAAATGGTGTCCCCCATCTGATACCAGAGAAAAGCATGTCCAGTTACCAGACAGGGGACAAACCAGCCAAAAAGAGGACTTTCCAGGATATAACTGGATGAGTGCCTTCCCCACATTCAGCTGAGCTCTCTCAGCCCTTTATAGGCATCATCTGAACCCTCTGCAACTGGGTCCAATAATCAAACAGGACCGCCTGGCTGCAGGCTCACAGACCCTTAAAGGAGCTGACTACCCCGTAACAGGCACTACATTCAAACGTGGGGCCAATGGGAGGAAACCAAGTCCAGCACCCCCAACCTTTTCTAAATCATGACTTCCTGATCCCAGTTTTCTCCAGCAGCGATTGCTCCCCCTCAGCCCCAGTGGCATTATGGAACTAAGGTCTGGGCCCTAGGTATCCTGCTGCCAGCCAGGACTCAAATCCACATATAAGTGGGACCCATGTTTAAACTACCACTGCATGGAGGGCCTCAGGGGACTTCTAAGTCCTGAGACCGCCTAGAAAATTCCCTATAGCCTTAGAGTCTAGCCTGAGCTTGGGCTAATGCAGTGTATTACTATCATCCATGTTTATTTACTGAGTGCTGACGTTGTACCTTTCCTGAAACAAACGTTGAGGAAGGCATGGCCCTCTGCCCATGGAGCTTACAGTCTAAATCAGCCTGGCAATACAGATGAGACATACAAGACATGCAGGGGGAAGGTTGACACATCCAGTTATCCTTTGTGTGCATGTAAATACAGATATAGACAGTGGCAGGCAGAAAAAGTGCTTATCTCTCTGGGGCCCTTTACTGTTTTATCCTATCCTGACCGCTTCTTTCTCTCTGCCTTTCCCCACATTCCAGTCTAGATTTTACCTTCCTACCTCCTTCTATCTTTCCCTCACCAACACATCCTCCTTCACACACACCAGAGTTCCTGCCAATAACATCTCCATTCTCATCATTCATCCACACTCAGCTGTCCCAACTCAGCCCACCCCAACCTGCTCAGCTCCCTCTCAACCAGGCCCAAGCCTCTCTACTCACCCACCTACCAAACTCAGAATTCTCTCTCCCTCTTAACTCAAAAACAAACCCCCTCACTCTGAGATCCCCCTTCTTCCTTCCTACCCAACTTCCTGCAGCTCAGAACCTCCCAAGGGCTTAAAACCCTCTCCCCTCCCATCATAAGCCCTTCTCCTCACCTCATAGCTTAACCTCCTTCCAAATCCTCTCAGGCTCACAAGGTAAAGTAAATCCCAGGTAAAATCCCTCCATCACAACACCACCTTCCACTGAGCCTGGAGAATCAGGATCAAAGACAGCTGAGAAGGACTATGTGTACAAGTGGTGAGTATGTGAAGGAAGGCTTCTACCCTGCCTCTATGCAGCTAACCTGAATTAGCATCTCAAGAGGCCTATATTTCTTGCTCCTTCTGTTGCCGCAGAGGTTTGAGAAACTGGAATACATACCTTCTACACCTGCATTACATGCACATGAAGCTCACAAATTAACAAAGTGTCTTTGCATGTCCAAAACATCTTGGTTTCAGTACTGGCCAAAGGTTTGAATTTATTATTCTGTTCTTCCTCCTCTGCTAGAAATACTGGAATTAATCATCAATTTCCCCATTCTACTTTTCTGCTTCCTTCTTCACCTTTCATTTCCTCTAAACTACTATCCACTCAGCCAAAATGTTATTGAGTTCCAAGCACTTTTTTGAGGAGAAAATTAAACTGATTGAAAAAGGAGTTTGTAATAAGGTCGCTAAAGAATTCAGACCTCAATAATTGAGACACACCAACCTCTTTCCTCTGCTGTTTAGAAAATTGTATTATTATGCATGATATTGTCATTATCTTTGTTTCCATTATTACTGACACTGGGAAGTTGAAATCCCTACTTCATGCCAGTTAAAAGTGGACAGAACTGAACCAAAATGTATCAAAGAAAGAAAAGAGAAGAAGCAAAGATGTTTTTTAATTGCACTTACCCAGCGTCTGAGCTGTTGCCACAGAGTAGTGCGTCCGAAGTGCCATTTTTTATGAAGTAGTTTTCTGCCACAAAAGTGAAGGAATCGTGAATTGACAACCTGCTTTCTAACAAGCACATTCCCAAATTAATACAATCTCTGAAAATTATCCACCAAGCAGCATATATAGTTACAGTAATCTGGGGATTTGATGAATAAAAGGTTTTGTTTGATTGACTGGTTTTAATTTTCAGGAAGAAACATACTTCATTTCTTGTAGAATCAGTTGTAAAAATTAAAATGTATAATTTTAAAGCTTAGCTATTGCTATCAGTATTTAAAATTCATTAGTAGCCTTTGTTCAACATAAAGAAGACAAAATAAAGGTAATAATAACATAATTAAAATGCATCCTTTTAACATTCAAACAGATAACAAACAAGGAAGTCTGATATTAAAAGAAATAGAAGGGTAAGTTAATATATATATATATATATGCTTTCAACAATGGATATTCTAAAAAGCATAATTGGGGAAATAATTAAGTGGCTGTACAGAGCCTATCCCAATGAGGCCCTGATCTCTGTTCAGTGTTAAATAATAATAGATGCTTTCCAGAAGCAGGTGAAAGTGGATTGAGATGGTTTTCAACAAGGAGCAAGGTGCATACCCTCCTTAGCCTACATGCATACCCTACATACTCTACATATCCTAGATCTTATAGCAAAGGAGTAATTCCCTGCTGACTTAACACATGAAGGGGAGAGCCCCACACAGCAGGTGTTGTGTGAGCAGAGATGCTCTCCCAAATGATGCTCAAAGAGGTCTCCATTGCAGCCTTAACCTAAATTGTTAATGGTTTTAGAAACCAAGCGTGCCAGCTTATTACTCCTGGGGTCATTCAGCACCAAAAACATTAAAAATTCTTTGCACAAGCTTTTAAAATTCTGCATATTTTATTTGTCAAAATAACACAATATAATCACACCGGTTTCAATTATTTTGGTCACTTATTTCAAAATACCTGTCAGCAAGTATGTCTGTACCAATACAGACAACAAAAAAGATTGAGGAAATGTTTTTGATAAATAGATTCCTTACTATGCATATTAATACAGAACTTTGAGTAACAATTCATTTAAACTACAATACAGAAATGCATTTCCCACACCTGTCAGAACCAGTGCAAAGGCTTGGGGGAGTCAGGAGTAACGGAGGAGCCGAGGGAGAGGGAAGTAATTGCTGGAAAGCAGACTGGGTGTGAACATGAAGGGTTGTTGGGTGTGGGTGGGAGAAATATGGAACAGGTTTTTTTGTGGGGGGAAAGGGATTGTTAGGGAGCCTCTGCCATGTAGACCCTGGCTGACCCAAACCTCTCTCATTCAGTCAGGCACATCTGTCCCTG